AACTCTGGATGGAGGGGTCCGGTCCCCGTGACGCGGACCGTCCCTTGACATCACATCCACCCCCTGTTGAGAACACTGGGGATGTACACTGCTCTGATGGAGAACAGATTTTGGTGTGCCCAACACAGCATCTGTCTCACAATGTGTAACATTTGGGCTGAGCGCACCCCCACCCCCTGACCCCCGCCGGTTATGTATGCAGCAGTCACTTGCTATCTGTGTGAGTCAACTCATGATGATTCTGTAGCACAGAGGCAAAGTGTTGAATCACATTCAAAACCCCTGACACTCCAAGAACATTTATATGAGCTGCTGTGTGGGGTGTCCACAGCGCCCCCATAGCTCGAGAAATGCATGTGCCTCTGTGAAGTCTGACACGTGTGACTTAAGTCTACTGACGGAAACAGGTGTTATCACTCTGCCGGTTTCACGTGAGTTGCACTGCTGCCACCTGTCTGGAAAGGCGGGTCAGCATCAACAGATGTCCAGATAAAGCAGAATTCTCCTCCCTGCTTCGTGTGGCGGCTGCAGAGCGACTCGACACATTTTAAATGGAAATGTTGTCTCACAGTTCAAAATTGACAAATCTAATATGAATCTCATATTTCCGGTCCGTTTGGGACCAGGAAGTGACGAGAGTGGAACCTTGTGATTTCCTCTCCTTCTGAGACCCTGGAAATTACATTTTAATCAGAATTTCCTGAGCTTCTGCGAGGGGGGACGAGATCTGTTCCAGAGATGACAGAAAACGTCTCTAGAGTTCCACTGAATGAGGGTTTGAGCTGTACTGCAGCGTGAATCCCTTGCTGATAACGGTTCATCCATCTATCTGGAGCGCACGCTCGCTGCCACTCCGCATAACGTTCGGGAAGCGGGCACGCGTTTATGCTGCGTCACGTTATTTACGGACGCCAATCACCGCCGTCATGTGTGCCTCACTCAGGCTGCGGGCTCACATCCGTGTTGATGTGAGCTGGCATGTGCTGAGGGAAGGTGCGCTCGCCCCGAGCATGCGGAACCAGTTTAGGACTGCCGCGGATGCGCGGCATTCCTATGCCACGCACAGGCAGCAGGCTAATATCCATGCTGATGTGAGCTGACGTGCGCTGAGGGAAGGTGGAAAGGTTGGGAACTCTGGAAATTACCTCTTTTACCAGAAGTTTCTGGACTTCTGCGTTTAGGGATGAGACCTGGTCTGGTGATGACAGAACCGTCTCTAAAACTCCTCCAAACGGAGGGGGTTGAGCTGCAAATTGTAGCGTATAATCCCTGCTGATCAGCCTGCTCATCCATCTGTCTAGAGAGCACGTCCGCTGCCACTCCGCGTAATGTTCATGGAGTGGGCGTGCGTTTATGTGGTGCGTCATGTTTCTTATGGACGTCAGCCAGTTTACAGTCTCGACCGCTGTCATACATTACGGAAGTGCTCCGCGTGACCCAAGGCGAGGCTTTCTCAAAAGGGCTCTGAGCGCGCTTCTGTGCCACGCTCAGGCTGCGGGTTCACATTCATGTCGATGTGAACCGGCGTGTGTTGAGGAGAGGTGAGCGCCTTCATCAACATGGTGCTGTTTGGGTGAAAGCTGTCGGCGCCATGGGAGCGCGCGTTTGACAACGCTGCAGTGAAAAGCGTGCAGCTCCTGCTGAGCGAGGTTTCCCACTGGACTCGTTCTGCGGTCTCACATTCATGCTGATGCGAGCCGGCGTGTGCTGGGGAGAGGTGTGCGCGCCTTCATCAACACAGCGCCGTTTGGGTGAAGGCTGCCGGCGTCACGGGAGCGCGCGTTTGACACCGCTGCAATGAAAAGCGTGCTCGGTAAAACCCCCTCCACTCTAGTGATCGGCGCGGATGTGGAAAACCGGTGCTCTCAGTCTACCAGATCCGGCTGCAGCCTCGTTCCAGTAGAACGTCACTGCTGGGAAAACGAGGCCAGATGGGATCAGGACGGTGAGCCGGGGTGGAGCCAAGAAACCTTCTCCCGATCTGGGCGGGGGAAGGAGAGGGACGGAAAAAAGTCCCTTCATGTCAGCCGCCTCCTGGATTATGCCGGGCAGCTCCAGAGGAGGGTACCGACGGCTGGTGTGGTCGCCGATGCGAAAAAGGTCAGGGGGGTTGAGCATTAGCTCAGCCCCCCTCGTTCCGACACTACGCTCTCCAGGAGGGAGTGAGCAGTGGGGGCTGCTGCTGACATCGCCTGTCCCTGAGGAACCATCCGATTCGCTCCGAGAGTCTGCGATAAAAGGAAAAATAAAAGATGGTGTCATCCAGCGTGTAGCAACCCGCCACTGAGAAATATTCCTCTGTGCTTACCTTGAAACAAGACTGCTCGTCTGCTTCTCCTCGGGGAGGAGAACTCACCAGGACGGCAGGATGTTGGCGTGGCGGGGCTACAGGCAGCCTTAACAAAGGTTGTGCTGGTCAAGCTGGACAACTTCCCTTCTTCGTTTTTCTGACAGTGCTATTAGCTTGCTGAAGAAAAATGGGAGCCGATTACCCGCTCTTAAAATAATTTATACGGACCAGGTGGGGCCCACACAACAGGTGGGCGTGGACTAAATTTTTCAGTGCAACGCTTCGCATGACGGGATAAAACCCACCAGCGACAGCCTTAAAGGGCGAAGCCTATACGAAATAGAACTGTCGGGCATCACCTTGACACTCAGTCAATAATTCAGAGGACCACAAGGCCCGACAGGACAAGGGAAAACAAAACAAAGAAAAAAAAGGTTTTATTACTGTTAATGTAGTTTATTTATTGCAAAGAGTGCTGTTTATTTAAAATATCATCCAAATGGGTTGCTTTTACTTATTTTTATACAAACGTATTGTTTTCTTGGCATATTTTCATAATAAACATTTTGTAAGTCTTTATTTTGGGCTTTTTTGTACCAAAAATTAACCGAACCGAGCCCTCCTTGAAACTGAACCGAAATGTGATTTTATCATACCGTTACACCCCTAGTGAATGCCAGCAAAATAAAAAATTTTTTCTTATCAGGTGGGATCCTGGGAAGCTCACTCAGAGCAGTTGGGTCCATCTCATCTCTACAGAACCGGGCCAGAAACTAGTCCGACTCTGTGCAGATCAGACCGGGAGTCTCAACATGATAATAGGATAACTCTTAACAGAATATTATGATCAACTGTATCAAATGCAGCATTGAGGTCTAACAGGACCATTGTAGACAACTGTCCATTATCAGAGTCCATGAGAATATCATTAGTGACTTTCGTCAGTGCAGATTCAGTTCTGTGGTGAGCTCTAAACCCTGACTGAAACTCTTCAAACAGATTATTTCTTTGCAGATGAGCACGTAACTGACCTGCAACTATTTTCTCCAGAATTTTTTTAATGAAAGTTAGATTAGATATAGGTCTATATATAATTGGCTAGGATTCCTGAGTCAAGGTTATGTTTCTTAAGTAAATATTCAATTACAGCAACCTTAAAGCTCTGTGGTACATAACTGTACATACATACATACATATATACATACATCCATACATCCATACATCCATACATACATACATACATACATACATACATACATACACAAAAAGCCAGACGTGATACTTGGAATGTTGGTTTGATTTTTTTCTCTAATTGAAACAATTTTTATTCATAAAGAATCTCATGAAGTCATCACTACTTATACTTTGTAGTTGTAGGGATACAACTCAGCAGAGATAAGATTTTTCATTAGACTAGCTATGGTACTGAAAAGGAACCTGGGGTTACTTTTATTTTTATCAATTAAAAATGAATAATATAATGTTCTAGGTTTACGGTGTGCTTTTGTGTATGTTAGCAGGCTATCGCTCCAGGATAAGTAAAATTCCTCCACATTAGTGGAGCACCATTCACTTTCTAGTTTTGTCAATACCTGTTTTAGAGTATGTAATTCAGAATTGAACCATGGAGCTAATTTCCTCTGATTGATTACTTTCTTTTTCAGCGGAGCAGCTTTATCGAGTGAAGTTTGCAAAGTAGTTGTAAAATTATCAACTATGATCTAAGTCACTGTTCTCTGATGCATTACTCTAAAAGACAGAGGAAAACGATGGAAGAGAATCTTTAAAATTGATTACATCGCTTTCTGATAAGCACCTGCTAAGATGAAATTTACTTTCTGACTGTGTAGTCATTTAATGCAAACTCAGAGGTTATTAAAAAATGGTCGGACACAACAGGACTTTGAGGATGTATTAATAAGTTATTAATCTCAATGCCATAGGTCAGAACTAGGTCAGTGGTGTGATGATGAGAGTGAGTAGGTGTAAAGACTTTTTGGGTAAAACCAACTGACTCTATAAAGTTTTTAAAGGCTATGCTTAAGCTATCACTTTCTACATCTATATGAATATTGAAATCACCCATTATGATGATTTTATCTGTATTTAGTAGTAAGTCAGTTAAGAATTCTGAGAACTCAGTCAAAAACTGAGCATAGGAGCCTGGTGGATGATATATAACAACTAGTGAGAGTGGCCATTCCGTTTTCCATTTAGGATGGGATAAACTTAGAGACATTGACTCAAAAGTATTATAACTACTAATTGGTTTAGTATTAATTAATAGTCCTGATCAATCAATTGTATATAAAACTTCAGCTCAATTGTATAAAAAAATGACAAATCTCTTGTGTAAAAAAACTGCATATCAATTGTATGAAAATAAAAAAAATTTTTTTTTATAAAATTTACAAATCAATTGTATAAAAAGTGTGTGAAGTCCATTTGTGGTTTTATTTTCAGGAAAACATTTTTTATGAAAGAAGAACCTTCTTCTATCCTTTCAGAGAATAAGAAACTGAATAATTTTATAATCATGACCTGTATGTACTGTAAATATTCCCTGGCCTTTGTTTGAACTTCATAGTGTTGATGGAAATTAAGAAACACTGACAATCTCGCTCTGATTTATCCCTCTGGCTCTTTTGTTGTACTTCTTCTCCATGCGTGAGATTCTTCCTGTGACCTTTGACCCCTTTCTTTATTGCAGGTTGGTGAAAGATGCCCCCTGGGATGAGGTTCCGTTGGCCCATTCTTTGGTTGGGTTTGCCACAGCTTATGACTTCCTGTATGAATACTTGAACAAAGACCAACAGGAGCGTTTCCTGCAGGTGATCGGTAACACTTCCCGCCTGATGTATGAGAAGTCCTACATCCGAGGATGGGGCTTCCAGTACCTGCACAACCATCAGCCCACCAACTGTGTAGCCTTGCTCACAGGAAGTCTGATTTACATGACTCAAGGTAGGTTGCTGTTGTCCTGCACCTGGAAGTTTCTTTGTGCTGGCTAGCTGTTGATGCCAGTCAGTGAAGCAGCTACACATCAAAGACTATAGGTGGTTCTCATTGACGTCTTCATCTGGGCACTTTTTTTTGCCAGCACCATCTTTGAGGGCTAGCATTTAGCTTCTAGTATCAACCACATTCATTCAACCTTTATTTACACAAGTAAATCGCATCATGACTGGACAAGAAAAGCAACCAACCATTTTAAACCATCTTGAATTTTATTAGGGGAGTGATGGCGCAGAGGCTAGAGAAGGTGGGTCTGTGATCAGAAGGTCGCCGGCTCGACTCCCTGGATCAACATCAAAATGTGGGTGGAAAAGGTGAAGCACCCACACCTGCCTCCACCCTCATTTGCCCCATTCTGGGCCCTTGAGCAAGGCCCTTAACCCCCACCATCTGCTCCCAAACAGGTCTCTCTTGAAAATGAGTCCTCGTGACTCAGTGAGACTACCTGTATAAATAAAGGTTAAAATAAAAATTAAATAAAAACAAACGAAAAAATAAGCCCTCGAACGAGGCAGACGTGCGCACACAATGGTAGACTAAAATAATTGAGTATTTTTCACAGAATTAATTTTTTTTAAAGATGCACCTGTTATACTAAAGAGTTGAATAAAGATCAGTTTAATTTCTTTTGATTTAATGTTGGACAATTTTCATCTTGGTGTTCATTCAAATCAAAAACACAAAACACATGATTGGCATGTTACATTCATGTTTGTTACATGACAAGTTCAACTGAATATGCACTAGTAGTAGGGCTGCACCTAATGATTATTTCAATAATCGATGAATCGGAAAAAAAAAAAAAATTCCACCTCTTTATTCCAAAATTGAACATTTGACTGACATAGCAATTTGCACAAAAAAACAAGTTGCTACTTGACTATTCTGTTAGTAAAATATTGAATAATAAAAAATAAAAGTTTCTCAAATAGCTTAAAAAATAAATGTACACAAACATATATATATAAATGTATACTTTATACCTGCACAATATGTAGCTACTTTGTAAAATGTGTCCTTGAGGGAAGAGTGTAACCTGGATTAAAAGTGGATCATTGTAGTGAAGCCTTCGTCTTCAACCATGGACAGAGGCCTCATGTCAGTGATGATTAGAGGTGTAACAGTACGCTAAAATCACATTTTGGTTCGGTTCAGTTTCAAGGAGGGCTCGGTTTGGTTAATTTTTGATACAAAAAAAGACAAAGGCATACAAAATGTTTATTTTGAAAATATGCCAAGTAGACATTAAGTTTGTATAAAAATAAATAAAAGCGACCCATTTGGATATTTTAAATAAACGGCACTCTTTACAATAAACAAATTATACTAACAATAATAAAAATGTTCATAAATACAAACAGTCAGAACAAGAACAATAAGCAGCAACAGACTGTTTACGATCTAACTAGTCAAGTTTAAAGTTTTTGTCCAAAAAGACCAACTTGTCCACATTTTCTGCCAAAATCACAGATCTGGTTGCAGTGAATATCTCCATCGGTGGAGAAAACCACTCACTAGCAACAGTAGCAAGAATAAAGAGGTAGCACTTTGTTAATTTTGCAGTGTGGCTGGATTTGGCCTCATTACTCACAACCTCTTGGACCTGCTCTCACCTGTCCCTGGAAAAGTTCAGAGTTCAGTCATCACAGACTTCTTAGCTGGAGGTGATCTCTGGTGGATTTCCCTGAAGAGGAGGAAGACTCAGCTGCTATCTCTGTCCCAGACTGGAAATAAAACACAGAGGTAAAAAAAAGAGTCTAAGATTATAATTTTAAATTAAAAAAGTTAATTGGATAATAATAATAAAATAACAATACCTCTTCTTGAACGGTTGTTATGAGGTGGTTGAATATCTTGGTCATCTTCATCATCATCATCAGGGCTTTAATCTGGTCCAGGGCTTGTTGACAATATTAGTGTTATCTTTTTCATAAAGTGCTGCTACAACTTTTTGGCTGAAATGTTGATGTGATGAGATGTTGTAGCAGGGTTCAATAACTTTATAGCGGCGCATCAACAACAGAAACGTAGACCCAGCGCTTTGAAACCTCCTACAGCTTGTGTTATTGCTCTGGACCGATCTGAATTACCTGGTAAAGGTTGTTTAAATGCTGCTGTTATCGGTCTTTGCAACAAGCTGTTTTTCTGTACGAGAGACGTTCACGTTCGGATGATGTCATTTCAAGTGTGTTAACAAGTTACAGCACTTTGGTTGGTCTTGTCGCTGTTTTAAGTGCTCTATAAATAAATTGGTATGGTATGGTATGGTATGGTATGGTATGGTAAGTTAGACGTGTTGCTGCTGCAGATCCAATCTCCGTGAAACAACGTCGACACACAGCTTTGGATTTGTTAACTTGTCTTTTAACAAGAAAGACATAATGTTCTCAAACAGGAGACCGCTACGAGATGCTAGGCTGCTAATGCTGCGCGTGCTACAAGATAATAGCGCCGTGTTGAAACACGCTTAGGAACTTTAGTTCTGCGGCGTATAATCTCTTGTTAATAAATTTGATGAGTGAAAAAATAACCAAAACAGTATGCACATGGACCGAACCGAACGTGCCGTACTGAAACGGTTCAATACACACATGTGTACCGTTACACCCCTAGTGACAATCATGTTAAAGTTCTTTCAGTGAAGACAGCTGCTGCTGTGGTGTCCATGATGTCTGTCCATCATGAAGGCTGTCATTGTTTGTTGTTGTTTTCTGGAATGAGAGAGTAAATATGTATTACATCATAATTTACAGAAACTCAAGAAATGCCTTGTTTCACTTCAGTGTTAGGGTCAGGCAAAAGTAACTCAAAGAGCAATTAAACACACACACACACACACACACACATATATTTAAAATACTTAATTACACACATTTGAGTAGATGTAATAAATTACTTTAATCCATCCATCCATCCGTTTTCTTGCGCTTATCCGGGGTCGGGTCGCGGGGGTAGCAGCCTAAGTTGGGAGGCCCAGACTTCCCTCTCCCCAGCCACTTGGTCCAGCTCCTCTGGGGGAATCCCGAGGCGTTCCCAGGCCAGCCGAGAAACATAGTCCCTCCAGCGTGTCCTGGGTCTTCCTCTGGGCCTCCTCCCGGTGGGACGTGTCCAGAACACCTCACCAGGGAGGCATCCAGGAGGCATCCTGAACAGATGCCCGAACCACCTCAACTGGCTCCTCTCGACGTGGAGAAGCAGCGGCTCTACTCTGAGTCTCTCCCGGATGATTGAGCTTCTCACCCTATCTCTAAGGGAGAGCCCAGACACCCTGTGGAGAAAACTAATTTTGGCCGCATTTATCCAAGATCTCGTTCTTTCGGTCACAACCCAAAGCTCATGACCATAGATGAGGGTGGGAATGTAGATCGATCGGTAAATTGAGAGCTTCGCCTTTTGACTCAGCTCTCTCTTCACCACGACAGACCTGTACAGCGCCCGCTTCACTACTGATGCTGCACCTTTCCGCCTATCTATCTCATATTCCATTTTTCCCTCGTTCATGAACAAGACCCCAAGATACTTGAACTCCTCCACGTGGGGCAGGACCTCCTCCCTGACCCGGAGAGGGCACTCTACCCTTTTCTGGCTCAAGACCATGGCCTCGGATTTGGAGGAACTGATCCTCATCCCGGCCGCATCGCACTCGGCAGTGAACCGCTCCAGCGAAAGCTGTAGATCACGATCTGATAAAGCCAATAGGACCACATCATCTGCAAAAAACAGAGAAGCAATCCTAAGGCCACCAAAACAGATCCCCTCAACACCTTGGCTGTGCCTAGAAATTCTGTCCATAAAAGTTGTGAACTGAATCGGTGACAAAGGGCAACCTTGGCGGAGTCCAACTCTCACTGGGAACAAACCCGACTTAATGCCGGCAATGTGGACCAGGCTCTGACACCGGTCATACAGGGACCTAACAGCCCATATCAAAGGGCCCGGTACCCCATACTCCCCCCACAGGGTTCCCCGAGGGATGCGGTCGAATGCCTTCTCCAAGTCCACAAAGCACATGTAGACCAGTTGGGCAAACTCCCATGCACCCTCCAGGACCCTGCTGAGAGTGTAGAGCTGGTCCAGTGTTCCACGACCAGGACGAAAACCGCACTGCTCCACCTGAATCCGAGGTTCGACTATCCAATGGACCCTCCTCTCCAGAAACCCCGAGTAGACCTTACCAAGGAGGCTTAAGAGCGTGATCCCCCTGTAGTTGGAACACACTCTATGGTCCCCCTTTTTGAATAGGGGGACCACCACCCCGGTCTGCCAATCCACTGGAACTTACCCCCGATGTCCACGCAGTGTTGCAGAGTCACATAAGCTAACACAACCCTACAACATTCAGAGCCTTAAGGAACTCCGGGCAAATCTCATCCACCCCCGGGGCCCTGCCACCGAGGAGCTTTTTAACCACCTCGGTGACCTCAGCACCAGAGATTGGAGGGTTCGACCCAGAGTCCCCAGGCTCCGCTTCTTCAGTGGAAGACGTGCCAGTGGGATTGAGGAGGTCTTCAAAGTATTCTGCCCACCGACCCACGACATCCCGAGTTGAGGTCAGCAGCGCACCTCTCCCACTATAAACAGTGTTGGTGGTGTACCGCTTCCCCCCCGAGACGTCGGATGGTGGACCAGAATCGCCTCGAAGCCGTGCGGAAGTCATTCTCCATGGCCTCTCCAAACCATGCCCGAGTTTTTGCCTCAGCGACCACCCGAGCCGCATGTCGCTTGGACTGCCGGTACCCATCAGCTGCTTCCGGGGTTCCACAGCCAAAAAGGCCCGATAGGACTCATTCTTCAGCCTGACAGCATCCCTCACCGACGGTGTCCACCACTGGGTTCGAGGGTTGCCCCCGCGACAAGCACCGACAACCTTGCTGCCGCAGCTCCGCTAAGCCGCCTCGACAATAGAGGCACGGAACATGGCCCACTCGGACTCAATGTCCCCCACCTCC